TTGATCTGGAGCACCTGGAGTCCATCGCAGGCCTGTTGCTCCAGCTCGTTTCTCGTCCGTCACTGGTGTTTCCCTCCTGCGTGGGCCCCTGGGCACTGTGCCTGCAGAGCCTCATGGGAAACCCGGCCCTGTTCACCGGGCTAAAACCGAAACAGGTACGGGCTTGGATTGAAAATCACAGGGCGCACAGCAAGGCCGGCAGGATATGCCCGAGCTCCACAACCACCTGACAGAGTCAGAAAGGGTTCAGTACGGTGCTCAGGAGTAACAGACGCCTTGTGAAGAGAGAAGTGCGTTTTTTTTTTATTTTTTGGAGAACTGTTTGACATCCAGACCAGAGCGGAAGAGCCGCTGAATGAAACCGACAGGGCCCCGTTGGCAAAACGAGACACCCTGTCTCTCTCTTTCTCTCGGGAAGGGCAAAGAGCAGAGAGGGAGAGAGGTCGCCCCCTGCTTCATCTCGTTTGAACAGGAGACACGTGATCTTCTCGACACAAACACCGATCCGGAGGAAAGAAAGTTTTTGCTCGAATAACTACCCGGGTGTAGCGCTTCTTCTAAAACAGCCCTCTGAAAACAACAACAACAACAACAACAACCACCAAATAAAATAAAAATAAAAACCTATTTTCCTTAAACAAGCTCCTTTCCACATATATACACATCTACTGCTACATCTGTTCTCTTTCTTTTTCTTTTTCTTGTTCCCGTTTACAACCACTTTTGTGCAATATATGCCAGGGACCTGTGCAATACATTTATATCTATATCTATATTTACATCTATATTCATATTCATATGTGTGATACGATTTTCTGTGTACTGTTCTGTTCTAGTTTGTTCTTCGTGTGTCCGGACTGTGAGTAACTCTTGTATTGTATTGTATGTATTGTACTATTATTATATAATTCGTTACACTGTGGCTGTGTTGTGTGTGTTAATGCTGCTGTTGCACTGCAATTTCCCTCACGGGATCAATAAAGTATCTATCTATCTTTCCCAACCTCACACCGGTAAACCCGACACAAGACCGAGACCGTCGTCAAGGGGTCTGACGGACGAAACGATCGTGTCACATGCAATCGTTTTTAAGGGTATTTTACGGTTGAAGCCCTCTTTAAATAACACGACGTGCTCGGGATCAAACCCGGCAGAATCTCTGCTGGTTCCCCTTGGGTTGTTGTTTTTATGTTTTTTTGCACCCCGACACTGAACCTCCACAGAACCGGAACAGAACTACAACCAACGTGAGCCGCTTACGTCATCGAACGCGGACGGGCTCCTCATACCATGAATTATGAGTTAATTGGGGGCGAGTGCGGGGCTGGACGTGAGTATTCAGAGATCCCGGCAGGAAAAAAAAGCCCAGTAGACCATCCCAGTCGTGGACTGGGAGTCCGGACGGCACGGCACATGCAAGCACACACAAACACACACCATGTTGAAATGCAATCAATGAACGAGCACAAGGCAGCCCTATTGCGACCGGCCGGCCTTCGGTTTTTTTTTTTTAGGACAAACGGAGTCGCTACTTACGGAACAGGAGCGGTGCGCCGCCACCGACACAAACCTGCGGCTTTCGGCTGCAGCCCCGGCTCCGCATCTCGCCAGCCGCCTCCAGACGCCCAGCCTTGCGTGAAACATTCTCACCGACCCGCACAAACGCGCTCGAAACGATCCTAGCGGGT